CAGAGCATTTCTATGCTGTTCCAGGACTGGTATGCTTTTGGAAAACAGGAATCTTTAAAATGTTTTTAACTATTATTTTATTTTATTTTTTTACTTTTTATAAATAATATGCATCGAAATAAATATTTTTTTTGTCTTCTAGTGTCCTTAACATGTGCCCCTTAGGGCACACGTTAAAACAACCCTTTATTGCAAACTGGGATACACACGAAATCATGTGGAAAACATTTTATGTATGATCTGTTCGATAACAGTCATGAAAACAGTAAGTTAACTACTTCTCTAATCAAGAATACAGAACTGTTTTTGATCAGAAAAATCTTTGAAACAAACCAATGTTGCCTTTTGCTTTTCCATTCTATAATATGTATTGATTTTGTGTGATAACATCCATCCTTGTGTAGTATGTCACTTCATTTACCATTTACCATTTCTCATGATCTTGATCTGGTAGATATTCTCATTCTCTCTTTCTTTCTTCTTATTCAAAATTGGACCAACTTTAAAGGTTTGCCATTATCATTTTTATTCTGACCAGAAATTTTGAATAAATTCATTACGGTTGACCATAACGTAGTGCTCCGATGATTATCTTTGCAGTATGGGGTGGAGATCCTGTGTATCCAACTGTGAACTACATTCAAGATCCAGATGAAGTGATTGATTACAGGGGTCCAGATTTTCATGAACCAACACCAGATATGCTTGCTTATCTGAAGGAGGTTAATTTTTTATTCTTTAACCCTTGTTTTTGGCTATTATGTTCTCCTTGAGTTGCTGCAAACAGGTTAATAGGCTGGTATTTTGGAGATCATCTATTATAATATGGCTCCTATCACTCCATTTATGAAGCTGGATTTTAGTTTCTTGGCAAAAGTCAATTGTATATTGCGTTTGTTCAGTCGTCGTGGTAATATAATTTGTAACATTTATGAGACGATGAAAACTGTTTTGCTGATCCCAATGATGCCACAAGGATGGTTGGCACCAGCTAATTCTTAGATCTTATCAGTTAGATCTTCAAGGATTAAGCTTGACAAGCTTTTTGGGTATTTTACTTCAATTATTAGTAGTTTCTTTGATTTCGACATGCTCCATTTTACATGAAGTTCCTCTTTAGTTGTGAGAGTACAAAAGATATGATAAATATAATTGTTTGATGATCTTGTTATAAATGCTAAAAATTTTCATTCCTTTCTTTCGTTTGACTCATTAATGGTTTGAAGTACAGCAATACATGGAGAACAGTTAAGTATTTGTAATGGCAACTTAGTTTTGTGTTAGTCTTCAAGTGTTGACTTTTGCTTAATTTGGGCAGCATGGAAAAATCATATCACGAGAACAGCTTAATATGCTTCTTTCAAAAGAGAAGACTGAAGAACTTGAGGTAACAAAACCTTTTGTACTGGCTAGCATATCATGTGTACTAGCACATGTCTTTTATGTTAAAAAGAAATTTTCTTCATGTTCTCTCTATATTATATGTAATGTTGTCGGTTTTAAACACTTTGAAATGTTAAAAAATTCATTACTTAATGTTGAATTCGTTTTAGCAATGATCAACTTTACCTAGAACAACTAATTATTGTTGGTTTCTTGATGCTTGCTGTGGACACAGATGACTGATATGGATGACGCGATAGCACGAGCTGTTGACATTGGTGAAAAGGAGGTGAGTGCCATTGACTTTTCTAATTTTTATTTTCACCACCTATTATTTTAATTTTATCTGGAGTTGATGTAAAAAGACTATAATAGGTTTATTTATCTTACGAATTGCTTTATCAAAGTTCTTAAAGTCTTTTTTGCCTCAAGTTGTTTTACAATTTATTTCCTATTTGATTAGGATTTGGATTTTATTTCATAAGCCTTTGAATAAAGGTTACAATTATTATTTTTGATAGGCTTGCATTGTTTGTTAAATATGAGGATTGGTTTTCTCCCTATGCATTATGTATTTCTTTCTTAGCTCTTCCCCTTTTTTTTTAATGTTTCTAATTTGTATGGAGTTTTTCCCTCTCCATGTTGTTCTCTCTTATCTATCTTTAGTCTCTCTATTTCTAAATTTTCTCCATTTCAACTAGTCTATCTATTTCTATCTCTGTTCTAGTGACAGGATCCAATAATTGTCATATTATAAATTTCCTACTCTAATTGTGGTTCTCTTGTGAGTAATTGCATTTTATTTTTGCTCTCATCTGCAATAGGAGGAAGGAGAAGATAGTGAGGCTGAAGGCGATGAAGAACAGGAGAAAATTTCGCGAAATTGGAGCGTTCTGAAGAGTACTCCACAGCTTCGAAAGTCAAAGGTAATTCTGTTTCTTGATCTTGTTACATTTTTATTTGTACCACGAGCTATGTTGTTTATTGTTGATTGATTTAATTAAACATAGTTTCATACGTAAGTCTACATCTCATTTATTTTAATGGGTAAAGGAACATAATGAGAGCAAGAAAGCTTAAATATAAATGCATACATTCATTCTTCTGCGCTTCTTGTTAAATATGTCAATTCATTTTTTTATTTATTTCAAGGCAATATATGTAATCAAATTGTGTTATCCTTAAACCTACAGGCTAAGCCCAAGAAGGACGATCCCATGTCTCTTGATGAGGCTATAGACGATTCGGAGAACTTGACTGATTTTCTTTTAGATTTCGAAGAAGAAGAGTGATGCTTACAGCCAAGATGATTCATTTAAATGATTTTCTTTTAGACTTTATTATTCTTGCTAAAAAACAATTGGGTTAATGTGAGCAAGCCAAGTTCATAATTATAAAGCTAGTTGTTGTTGTGTAAATTGTCTAGTAGAAAAGGTTTATTATAATTTTTTACAATGATGTTATAACTTGTAGCACCGCACAAGAGGGCCACTGCCTTCATGACAAAATCTCTTTCATTTTTCTGTTTGACCTTGTGATGCAGGGAATTTAGATTAGTTATTATCTTAAGCCTCATTTAGATTAAGAGATTCTAAATGAATGTTTTTGTTAAATCAATGGATTTTGGAAAATTCATCACCCTTTAGAATCCTTCATTTTTTAGGGTTTTAAAATCTCACTTGATAGGTGAGAGTTTGCCGAATCCATCAATTTTAATAAAATGAGGAATTTTGTTAATATTTGAATTTTTTGATATTATCATTGTAAAGAATTTAATATCTTAGTAATTATCCTTTACCTTAATTAAAAGAAATATATTTTTCGCTCTCTCTTTTTAAGCCTTTCACATTTATATCATCAGTATCTTCAACGCATATTAAAGAAAATTAAAGAAATAATTTTCCTGTGAGTTTCATTCTTTTAATTAATTATTTTCAATTTCTTATTTGTAAAAAGCTTTTTTATTATTTTAATTTTTCATAATAATTCTTTTTGTTATCTAGTTAAGAACACATTATTGGTAGCTTTTTGTTTTTCATGAAATATTAAATCAACAACGCTATTGCAAATAGCTCTTAAGCTTGTTATATATATATAGGTCCTTTTGTAAAGCAATGGGTCCAACAATATAGTATCTAAATTGGGAACAAACTCTGATTTATCTTACAATTTCCCCTATCAGCTTTCTTGTGCTATACACGTATGAGATTTATATATTATATAGTTAAGTATCTCTATAAAAATAATAATAATAATAATAATAAACAAACACAAAAAACGAGATTGTTATGTTATATATTTTAATATGAAATTATTTAATTATTGAAGTTATCATGAATGAAGATAATTAATAATATATTATATTAATTTAGAATTCTTTTTGTTTTCTTACCAAATCACAAAAAATTATTTATTATAATTAGACTTCTCTATCAAATATAATATAATTTGCATTTATTAGATGAAAGTTGAATTTTTGTTGGGTTTGGATATTGAGGGTAAAGTTGGAAATTATTTATCAAACTCATAGATTGTATTTATTTAACCAAACATAAGTGCATGAAAATTTGAATCAATAATCCATAGATTTTATATTTAAACTAAACAATGGAATTTATCAAATGCATGGATTGTACAAAAAATCCATAGATTTTAAAATCTCTCAATCCAAAAGAGACCTTAGTTTTAAATTATTTTACATTAGGATTTCTTATTTACATGTTTAAATTATTATTATCATTGTTATGATTTAGGGTAATTATTAGATTAGAATTTATCCTTAATATTCTTTTGTTATCTTTTTAGGATTTTATTTTTGGGGTGAGATTTTTCAACTTAAAATTCTAATTAAAATTTTTTATACAAATTTTCAGTTGTGGATTTAATATAATCCAATGATACATGAATTTCTAAGGTGGTAAACAAAATAACTATCTCTAAACTCTTTCTTAGATCTTTTAGATTACAAAATATCTACGGTTGAAAATTTGTGTCTCAATTTCAGTTAAATTTTCAAGTGAAAAAATCTCTTTCCTTTATATTTATTATGAAATCTAGCACTTGCTATAAATAAATATGATTAATGTCAGATTCCTGGAATACATTTCACCAGAAACATATTTCCAAGAATGAAAAGCAGAGCATTTCTATGCTGTTCCAGGACTGGTATGCTTTTGGAAAACAGGAATCTTTAAAATGTTTTTAACTATTATTTTATTTTATTTTTTTACTTTTTATAAATAATATGCATCGAAATAAATATTTTTTTTGTCTTCTAGTGTCCTTAACATGTGCCCCTTAGGGCACACGTTAAAACAACCCTTTATTGCAAACTGGGATACACACGAAATCATGTGGAAAACATTTTATGTATGATCTGTTCGATAACAGTCATGAAAACAGTAAGTTAACTACTTCTCTAATCAAGAATACAGAACTGTTTTTGATCAGAAAAATCTTTGAAACAAACCAATGTTGCCTTTTGCTTTTCCATTCTATAATATGTATTGATTTTGTGTGATAACATCCATCCTTGTGTAGTATGTCACTTCATTTACCATTTACCATTTCTCATGATCTTGATCTGGTAGATATTCTCATTCTCTCTTTCTTTCTTCTTATTCAAAATTGGACCAACTTTAAAGGTTTGCCATTATCATTTTTATTCTGACCAGAAATTTTGAATAAATTCATTACGGTTGACCATAACGTAGTGCTCCGATGATTATCTTTGCAGTATGGGGTGGAGATCCTGTGTATCCAACTGTGAACTACATTCAAGATCCAGATGAAGTGATTGATTACAGGGGTCCAGATTTTCATGAACCAACACCAGATATGCTTGCTTATCTGAAGGAGGTTAATTTTTTATTCTTTAACCCTTGTTTTTGGCTATTATGTTCTCCTTGAGTTGCTGCAAACAGGTTAATAGGCTGGTATTTTGGAGATCATCTATTATAATATGGCTCCTATCACTCCATTTATGAAGCTGGATTTTAGTTTCTTGGCAAAAGTCAATTGTATATTGCGTTTGTTCAGTCGTCGTGGTAATATAATTTGTAACATTTATGAGACGATGAAAACTGTTTTGCTGATCCCAATGATGCCACAAGGATGGTTGGCACCAGCTAATTCTTAGATCTTATCAGTTAGATCTTCAAGGATTAAGCTTGACAAGCTTTTTGGGTATTTTACTTCAATTATTAGTAGTTTCTTTGATTTCGACATGCTCCATTTTACATGAAGTTCCTCTTTAGTTGTGAGAGTACAAAAGATATGATAAATATAATTGTTTGATGATCTTGTTATAAATGCTAAAAATTTTCATTCCTTTCTTTCGTTTGACTCATTAATGGTTTGAAGTACAGCAATACATGGAGAACAGTTAAGTATTTGTAATGGCAACTTAGTTTTGTGTTAGTCTTCAAGTGTTGACTTTTGCTTAATTTGGGCAGCATGGAAAAATCATATCACGAGAACAGCTTAATATGCTTCTTTCAAAAGAGAAGACTGAAGAACTTGAGGTAACAAAACCTTTTGTACTGGCTAGCATATCATGTGTACTAGCACATGTCTTTTATGTTAAAAAGAAATTTTCTTCATGTTCTCTCTATATTATATGTAATGTTGTCGGTTTTAAACACTTTGAAATGTTAAAAAATTCATTACTTAATGTTGAATTCGTTTTAGCAATGATCAACTTTACCTAGAACAACTAATTATTGTTGGTTTCTTGATGCTTGCTGTGGACACAGATGACTGATATGGATGACGCGATAGCACGAGCTGTTGACATTGGTGAAAAGGAGGTGAGTGCCATTGACTTTTCTAATTTTTATTTTCACCACCTATTATTTTAATTTTATCTGGAGTTGATGTAAAAAGACTATAATAGGTTTATTTATCTTACGAATTGCTTTATCAAAGTTCTTAAAGTCTTTTTTGCCTCAAGTTGTTTTACAATTTATTTCCTATTTGATTAGGATTTGGATTTTATTTCATAAGCCTTTGAATAAAGGTTACAATTATTATTTTTGATAGGCTTGCATTGTTTGTTAAATATGAGGATTGGTTTTCTCCCTATGCATTATGTATTTCTTTCTTAGCTCTTCCCCTTTTTTTTTAATGTTTCTAATTTGTATGGAGTTTTTCCCTCTCCATGTTGTTCTCTCTTATCTATCTTTAGTCTCTCTATTTCTAAATTTTCTCCATTTCAACTAGTCTATCTATTTCTATCTCTGTTCTAGTGACAGGATCCAATAATTGTCATATTATAAATTTCCTACTCTAATTGTGGTTCTCTTGTGAGTAATTGCATTTTATTTTTGCTCTCATCTGCAATAGGAGGAAGGAGAAGATAGTGAGGCTGAAGGCGATGAAGAACAGGAGAAAATTTCGCGAAATTGGAGCGTTCTGAAGAGTACTCCACAGCTTCGAAAGTCAAAGGTAATTCTGTTTCTTGATCTTGTTACATTTTTATTTGTACCACGAGCTATGTTGTTTATTGTTGATTGATTTAATTAAACATAGTTTCATACGTAAGTCTACATCTCATTTATTTTAATGGGTAAAGGAACATAATGAGAGCAAGAAAGCTTAAATATAAATGCATACATTCATTCTTCTGCGCTTCTTGTTAAATATGTCAATTCATTTTTTTATTTATTTCAAGGCAATATATGTAATCAAATTGTGTTATCCTTAAACCTACAGGCTAAGCCCAAGAAGGACGATCCCATGTCTCTTGATGAGGCTATAGACGATTCGGAGAACTTGACTGATTTTCTTTTAGATTTCGAAGAAGAAGAGTGATGCTTACAGCCAAGATGATTCATTTAAATGATTTTCTTTTAGACTTTATTATTCTTGCTAAAAAACAATTGGGTTAATGTGAGCAAGCCAAGTTCATAATTATAAAGCTAGTTGTTGTTGTGTAAATTGTCTAGTAGAAAAGGTTTATTATAATTTTTTACAATGATGTTATAACTTGTAGCACCGCACAAGAGGGCCACTGCCTTCATGACAAAATCTCTTTCATTTTTCTGTTTGACCTTGTGATGCAGGGAATTTAGATTAATGATTATCTTAGGCCTCATTTGGATTGAGAGATTCTAAATGAATGATTTTGTTAAATCTATGGATTTTGGAAAATTCATCACCCTCTAGAATCTTTCATTTTTTAGGGTTTTAAAATCTCACTTGATAGCTCTGTTTTAAAACCTGGATCGGACCGGTCGGTCAAACCGGTTTGACTGGGACCTGGCGTCAACATCGGTCCGGAAACCTTATAAACCCGCTTTTAACAATTAACCATTGTTTTAAAAGCCGGACCGGACCCAGAATTGGTCACGTGTCTGGTTCGGGTTAACCTTAAAACTGTTATAATGTAATAGACCGTGTTAAATCGTTAAAAAACCAGATATTTTCAGCGAACCGTCGGTCCAATCAGATCGATTGATAAACCAGTCCAATCAAAAATCCCTAAACCTAATACACGTGGCCTTCTTCTCATCGCGTATTCGCGTTCAATTCATCTCTTTCTCAGTTTCTTATGCAAATTTCTCAGCTTCTTCTCTATTCTCTACAAAAAAATTTCAGCTTCGTCTCTATTGTTTGTTCTCTGCAAAGATTTCTCTTCGAAATCTCACCCAAATCGCATCTGAACTCTCTGAAATCGACGACGACGTCTTCCTCCCTCGTCGAAAATCGACGACGATAGCTCTGTTCCTTGCTGGAAATCGATGGCAACAGCTCCATTCGTTGATGACAGCTCAATTCTTCGATCAAGGTAATAAACACGCCATTCTTCGATCCAACTTCAATAATCAATAATGATTTCGTTGCAAACTTAATCTGGAGCAATAATTCTATGAATTTTGATGTGCAGATTTTGTTGTGAAAGAGCCTATGGTGATTGGTCATGAGTGTGCTGGGATCATAGGGGAGGTGGGAAGTGAACTGAAGACTTTAGTGCTCGGTGATCGTGTGGCCCTGGAACCAGGGATCAGCTGCTGGCGATGCAATCAGTGCAAAGAAGGTCGATACAATCTATGTCCTGAGATGAAGTTCTTTGCAACTCCACCAGTTCATGGTTCTCTTGCCAACCAGGTTAACGAAAATGCTACATTTCTAACTATAGTCTGTTGGACTCTGTGCTTTTAGAAATTAACTATTACCTTATGAATTGTGCATTCAGCAATTAGAAATATGGTAGACAATCATTTGAAAGGTTGTAATGTGTGTATAGTTGTGTCAATATACATAGTCTTCTTCAAAACATACTGGTCAGTTCAATTGTGTACTCAATTTGACTTTATCAAAGGTAGCATAGTTTTGACAAATTTGGGATTGATCCTGTGGAGTAAAATGTTCTTATGCTTCTGTATATAGTCGTGTTAACTGCAGGGTGTATAGGCTCTAGGTGATGTGCGATTTTGTAGGACATTCATGTTGGCAAGCTATAAGGAGAAGAGTAGCCTTTGCATACACAATATTCAAGATTTTGTAGGACATCTCAAGGCCTGAAGCATACACAATATGAGTGATGATGGTGAGGAATTTGATGCTATGTGTGAACCTCAATCAATATGGAGATGAATCAAAGAAAAAAACATGCATCAAATGTTTTGTTATTAATTATTATGTATTTTGTTTTGTCATAATTGTAAATACAACATCAGTTTGGATTTGGATTTGGACTTTGAATTGTTGTTAAATACTTAAATATGTTAGATTGTTGTTGAATTTGAACTTGAATCAGTGTGATAGTAATTAAGTGTTTATTGTGTTATTAAAAAATAGAAATCTAAAAAAAAAAGTTTTTTTAAAAAGTGCTGACGTCATATGATGTGTGATGACATCACCGGTCCAACCGACGGGCCAACGAACCGTGACCCGACCACAGAGCGGGTTGCCCTCGGTCCGATTTTAAAACAATGCAATTAACTCGGAATAAACCGGATTTAGACCGTCTAAATAGTGATAAACTGTTGGTTCAACTGGACCGATGGCACAACCGGGTCACCAAAAATCCCTAAAACATTCCTTTTCCAATTTCCAATCTCCATCTTCAATTTTATCATAATTTAAATGTCTATTAAATATATCACAGCATTTTATAGTAAACGCCAATGTTTCAAAATTTAAATTCATGGATTCTGGATGGAAAAGAATGATTATAGCAAATACCAAACAGTCCAACCAACAAATGTGCAACCCAGTCAATATTTCCAGAAACTAAGTAAAGATGTCAAAAAGCAACAAGATACAACAGGTAGCCAACTAGCCATTGTAGATCCAAAAAAAAAAAAAAAAAAAAAAAAAATGCAAGGGAGAGAAAACACGACGACAGAAGAAGAGAAAAAAGAAATGGAAAAGGAAATCCAACAGCCATGAAGCCTTCACCGTGGTGGATAGATCCAGCAGCCATGAGCATGAAGCCTTCATCGTGGTTGATAGATCAGCAGCCATGAGCATGAAGCCTCATGTGGCGGAGAGCCACGAAATCTACATCATGGGCGGAGCAATCATGAAGCCTACACCGTTGAGGTCCAAATGGTAGCCATGGTAGATTGAAAAAAGAAGCAAGGGAGAGAAGAAAGGGAGACTGCATAGGAAGAGAGAAAGAAATGGGAAAAATGAATAAAAGGAAGGAATTTAGGGTTTTCTTTATAAGTTTTGAAAAGTCAAAAAACCCTTTTGAACGACGTCGTTGCATTTAAAGAATTATTATAATGATGTACCGGTCCAATCGGTTGGATCGGTCACCCGGGACTCGGGCCCGTTGACCGAGTCAGGCTTGGGCGGGTTTTAAAACAATGCTTGATAGGTGAAGAGTTTGCTCGAATCCATCAGTTTTTAAAAAACTGATGATTTTTGTTAAATTTTAATTTTCGATTATATCATTGCAAAGAATTTAATACCTAGTAATTACCCTTTAAGTAATTAAAAGAAAAATATATTTTTCGCTCTTTCTTTTTAGCCTTTCACATTCTACTCATCAACATCTTCAGAGTATATTAGAGAAAGTAATGCCTGTGAGTTTCATTCTTAATAATTATTTTTTCAATTTCTTCTTTGCAAAAAGTTTTTGTATTATTCTCAATTCTTCTTTGCAAACGTTTTTTTCTCCTTATTTTCAATTCTCATAATGATTCTTTTGTTATAACACATTAGTGGTGACTTTTTGTTTTGTCGAAAATATAAATCAACAACGCTTTCAATTTCTATTTGCAAAAAGCTTTTTTTATATTCAATTTTCTCATAATGATTCTTTTGTTATATGGTTAGAACACATTATGGTGCTTTTTGTTTTTCATGAAATATTAAAAATCATCACATATTGCAAATAGCTTCAAGCTTGTCATAATATAGGCCTTTTGTAAAGCAATGGGTCCACAGTACAGTATATAAATTGGGGACAAACTGGTTTTATCTTACAATTCTCATGAGCTTTCTATGCTATACATGTTGAAATTTATAGATTAATAGTTAAGTACCTCTATAAAAATAATAATAATAATAAACAAAACAAAAAAACGAGATTGTTATTATATGTTTAATATGAAATTATTTAACTATTGAAGTTATCATGAATGAAGATAATCAATAATATATATATTAATTAGAATTCTTTTTTTTTTTTTTTTTTTTTTTTCCAAATCACAAAAAATTTTATTATAATTAGACTTTCTATCAAATATAATAATTGTATTTATTAGATGAAAGTTGAATTTTTGTTGGGTTTGGATATTGAGGTAAAGTTGGAAATTATATATAAACTCATAGATTGTATTTATTTAACCAAACATAAGTGCATGGAAATTTGAATCAATAATCCATAGATTTTATTTAAACTAAATAATGGAATTTATCAACATGGATTGTACAAATCATGAGTTAAAATCTCTAATCAAAAGAGACTTGTTTTAAATTATTTTACATTAGGATTTCTATTTACATGTTTAAATTTTATTATCATTGTTATGATTTAGCGTAATTATAGATAGAATTATCCTTAAATTCTTTTGTTATCTTTTTAGGATTTATTTTTGGGGTGGATTTTTCAACTTAAAATTCTAATTAAATTTTATACAAATTTCAGTTGTGGATTAATATAATCCAATGATACAGGAATTTCTAAGGTGGTAAATAAAATAACTAAACTCTTTCTTAGATCTTTGGATTACACAAATATCTACGGTTGAAAATTTGGTCACAATTTAAGTCAAATTTCAAGTAAAAAAGATCTCGTTCTTTATATTTATTATGAAATCTAGCACTTGCTATAAATAAATAGGGTTTAGTTTGCACGTTGCAAGCACCTAATCAATACACATTTTTTCTATTTTCCCTTCGTGAAATATAATGTCTACCACTGGCAATGGGTCTGTAGAAAGGTTTTGCGCCGTATCGCATTGTCTATCAAATTTTCTGAAACCAAAATTGACCATTAGTTATTGGGCCTAAAAACGTAAAACATTATGTTTATCATGTAACCCAAAGTCAACCCATTAAAAATGCCTTCTTTTTTTTTTTTTTTAAATTTCTAATTAAATAATTACACCATAACATCTTACTGAGAAATATTATAAATTTATAAGTAAAAAGTTAATAAACTATAGTACCTGTGTTGAATTTGAATATAATGAGTAAGGGACAAAAAGTTAAAGTGTTTTTGACGTTGAATAATAGTAGAAATTCGGAGGAATACTAGGGAAAGTGGGTTAAAATATTAATAAGTAAATAAATAAATAATAAGAATATTATATAATATTCGTCATACTTTTGAAACATTTATTACAAAAATAACTAAAATACATTTAATTAAGAAGTCAAATAAACTTATAGACTTTAAAACATTTTAACCTTCTTTAGAATGAGATCTAGCTTAAATATATCTTATTTTCACTTTATTAAGTGTTAAGTGAGCATACTTTTGTATAAGACAAGTGTTATCAAGTGTCAAGTGTTTTCCTTGTCCTATTAGGTTAAAAAATAATACTGTTTCTTTTTAATCCCAAACACAGTACCAAAACTTCTACTATATACTTACCTCTCTATCCAAAAGAAAAAACATTAGACCTGGTAAAACAAGTAATTACCCGTAGTTGGACTCGTACTCGTTAAAATAATATTGGATACAGGTCTCACAATTGCGCCCCCCCCCCCCCCCCCCCCCCCCCCCCCCCCCCCCCCCCCCCCCCCCCCAAATTCTACCCGTACCTGGCTTGGCCTTTTTTTTTTCCCTGGATGGGTCGAGTATACCTGCGGGTACCTGTAAAAAAAAATTAGCCTAAATCCCTAATTCCTAAAATTCTATTCTCCAACTCTCTTCGACAGTTCAACTTTTCTCCTCATTCACTTCTCACTTTCTGACATCTCACTCCTGCCATCACCCGTTGCCGCCTCCTCTCTCATCTTTCTCATCTCTCGCCGTCGTTGCCAGCTCTCTCAAATCCTGTCGTCGCCAGCTACCACTACTCTCTCATCGAAGGTAAGTTTTGTATCATAAAACTTTTGTAATTTGATTTCTTCAATTTAACTTTATATATCAACCTTATACTTGGTTTGTTTGTGTTTATTTCTAGTTTGATCTCTCCTTGTAACTACTTTCGATTTGATTCTATGAAATATGATGAATTCTAGTAATCAATTTTGAGTTCTTGTTCGAACTATTGACCACAGAACTATTATGAACTAGTGACCACATAGAAGGGAAATTTGAGCACACTATAGGGTTGTTACATGAACTATATGTTGGTGGTATGATGTCATTGTCAAGTAATATATTGAGAGTATTAGAGTGTAGGATTTACAGATTAATGGTAAATACTCCTAGAGGGGGCTGAATAGAAGATCAAAAAATTTAATGCGGAATAATACAACCTCCAACTACCTAACAATAAGAACAATAAATAACTTTAATGATAAGTAATAAATAAGCAAGTTAATGACAAATAATAAATGAGAGAGAGAAGAGAAATGCTCAGAGATTTTATAGTAATTCGGAGCTTTGATCACGAGCCTCCTACATCCACTTCTTCAAGGCAATCTCCTTGAAGTTCCACTAGAATTGAATTTCACCAATACAATAGTTTTCATAGGATTTTGTCCCTAGATTTACAGAATTTGACCCAAGGATATTAGATAAAATGTTTTGTGAATGATTGCCTGCCTCTAACTTAGGCCAATATACAATAGTTTCAAAGATTCTCTCTAAATATGTTAGTTTAGTACAAATGAGAGATTGATTTTGAACTCTGGGGTTTGCAAGATTGAATGTTGGATAAT